ACATTTTTTAATCAATGGCATACCCAATTTGCAAAAAATGGCATTAGAAATAACTTTGTTACCTTGTACAAGGACATTTCCTTTTCTTGAAACCTTATGTGTCATCAAGACATATAAGACTTTTTCAAGGATTTATCAAAGCAAAAGACAGATTAACAATTTATGAAGACAAGAAATTCATATTTTTGATTTATGCTTCTGTTGCCTTTTTTTTTTTTACATAAGCGTATAATTGCCACGTAATATTTTTTTTTTAAGTTGGTACATGTAATTCAAACTTTAATCTTGGAAATTCCATCTTTAAAGTTGATAGTTCCAACTTTAATCTGGGAAATTCCAACTTTAAACTTGGGTTTTCAATTTTTTTTAGTCTATGATTAAAGTTGGAAATTCCAAGTTTAATCGTGGAAATTCCATCTTTAGTCTTGATAATTCCAACTTTAATCTTGACTTTTTCACTTTTTATTCTAGCCCTTCTACCCCCTTTTAAAAAAATTTTTTCTTGTGTTTTTTAAAGTATCACAAACTTAATTAATTTAAAAATAAAATACGGAAATAGATTTGTTGGCAATTTATGATTGCAATCTAGGGGTAGGGGTAGAAAGGGGGAAGAGGGTAAGAAAAGTGGGCGGATCTATGGGGAGTTATAATATTTTACCCAATGTTTACCCCTTTATCCCGTGGATATAGCTCAGGAGATATCGTTTTCATATCCCACCATTAAGTTCAGTTATGAAATCACAATTGTTTTTGCGTTAGCATGATGAAGTAACATAAGACAGAGTCCCATATAAAAACAGTGTAAATATCGGTTGTGAAGTATTAAACATGGGATAAAAAGAATCTGCCATGGTCTGTAGTTGGATAAGATTTTTATGTTGTGTTTTTCCCCTCGCCAAGACTCGGGGATAAAAATTATACAACTCGTTGGATAAAAATCATATCCAACTACAAACCATGGCAGATCGTATATGTACTTTTACAATGGAAAATAAATATAGCACCTTGAAATAAATTATTGAACCTTTTTTTCTGTGTTTGTTTAACGCTTTACCTTGATCTTCCCTATGACCTTACATAAAACTTTTGATCAGAAATACTAGCTAATATCCCCTTTAGTCCTCTCTGAAAACATCCTTGTTATTCTATACAAATATTTTTTGCATCAAATCCCATTTTTTAAGACTTTGAATAAAAATTTAAAATCTACGCGGTGAACCTTAATCATGTTACTCGTTAAAACATGATTAAAGTTGTTATTTTCAGATTTTTTGACAAAAGTTTGCATCATCTGTCCTTAAAAACAAATAATAAGTATACAAAGGTTAAAAAATTGCTAGATATTCTGATTCGATGGAAAGACAAAGTATGCAAATTGATGAATCTGGTGAACCTCTTTGTTCAGCTGGGGGTTCAAGTTTAAAACAAGGCAACCTTGTTCTCAAGCCTGAAGAGGCATAAAAAGATGTGAATAAAAACACGCTACATGTATATACAGTATATTTAAGCACATTTTCTTAGATTTGTCAAGTAGCCATTTACTATATCTAAGCATAAATGTTATTTGCTTTCATGAATAATAAAATGCATGTTTCAAGTTCATGAAAACTGTCTAAGGTTTCTACTGAGTAAATATGGAGATAACATAAGTTATCAACATCGAAAGTCCTTTGAATCTGATCATTACAAACTTGTTGCACAGGCCTCTAAAAATCAGAGGATCGGATGCTATGTAGAGGGTGGACATTTTTCGCCGATCGTTCTCTTCCACCGTGTGCTCCTCGTCATGATTGGATAATACAGAAATTTAAATTTATTAGTTTATGTTTAAATTTCCATTTTCTAACAGAAGAGTTGTGGGACGTATTTCTTTTAATAGACTGAAAGATGCCTTTAACAGAAAACTACGACAGGGTTAATTATTGTTTGTTTGTTTGAGAGATAATTATTTTTTAAGAAGTAAACTTTTTTTTTCAATTTCTGGATATAAAAATGTCTTTTTAAGAAAAAATAACACTCAGCAATTTTCGTCTACATCATTTCCGCTGTTTAACACCCTTCCCCGCAGTCACGCATTTTAACGCATATACCATTTCCTATTTCTAACGCAAAATCACGTATTTACCGTTTCCCCGCATTCACGCATTTTCACGCACTTTAAAAAGTTCATTTAATCTTTATTTCATTGCCAAATTCCAACTATTTTATACTTGCTTGAGTCTCATAAAATAAGAAAAGTTATTTTCTAATTAAAATATTATTTCAGAATATTATTTACGCTAAACTTTAGAGAAATTTGTACCCCGCTATAAAGTGCTTGCGGGGAAATGGTAAAGTAATATTTCTATGATGCGAGGATTCAATGTATCTTGCATAGCAATTCTGTAAGTTGTAAAGAGTTAAGTGAGAAAAAAAAAACAAATTCATTAGGAAGCACAATGCGGACATCAAATATTTTTTAAAATTCAAATAGTTAGTAAACCCGAAATGTATATGATAAATTAATGTGAAAAATATATTTTAAAAATATGAAAAATCAATTCTATCATTTATAAACCAAGGAACTGAAACCGTTCTATGGGTCAGTATAGAGACTTTGTAAAAGTTAATCGGATCTCTGAACATGTTCTCAAATTCTTTCACAGGCCTAATGTAAATTCTTTTGTAATTTTCCTACATTTCAGACGTTCAAGCAAATAAATATTTGAAATGTTAAAACAAAACATACAAATAAAGCAAAAAAAAAAAAAAAAAAAAAAGGAAAGTGTATTCAATAAATGCATTAGTATTTTTCTTCCCAAATACAGACTGATAACTATTTTCTCGCGAGATTTCAAATATCATATACCGACAATCAATTGCCACTTTGGAATTGCACTGTCATTTATCACCAATCAAAATTTAAATGCTGAAATTTTGGAACCTTTCGCCCATGTTTAAAGAATGATTTAGCTCCTTGATATCTCCGTAATTGTGCAAATTACATTTCGTTCAAATTGTCAGTCAGTTACAACTTAATTATGATTTAAACTTATGTTAACTCAAACAATGAAGGTTCGCAAAATGCTTCTGATTTAAAAAATAAACACATTATTTGACATCACATCTTGCATTTATTGGGCATATACCATTTATATATTTACTGATCTTGAACGTATTTATCTTGGGACATTCCATGAGAATTCACAATGTAAGGGTGGATTTTTTTTAAACATTCACATCGCCGTATATATATAACTAAAATAATACGCCTACAACAAATAATGGATTTTTTTAAAACATCAATTTATACAAGTATATGCATGTACCTAACCTTTTAAAATATCTATATGCACAAACTCTTTTAGAAGTGATATATACGTTTAAAACGAGAAACAGTTAAATGTTTAAAAAACGTTGTTCAGTTTTTGAAATCCACAAAGTTCATTCCTTTACACAAACATTGAATAATTTATGCACTGTTACCGATAGTAACAGTAAGGTGTTGATCGAAATGTAGAGCACAGATATCTAAAAACCTTGACTTGGTAGATAACGATAATGCAAGTCATGGGACTGCAAACAGAGTAATTTGGGTTTCTGTTGGCAAAGACAGCTGTTATTTTCCACCAGTACGCAGGTAATAGGTATTCGTTACATTATCTTCATATTAAAAATTTTTTCCTTATAATGAAATCATTTCTTTTATTTATTGTTAACAGCTTGAGAATATTGTTTTTTCTTTTCTCTTAAAACTGTTTAGTTTTGAACAAAACGTCAGTGTTTTATCAACACTTCTTGGATCATGTTTTGCCATGACATGCGCATGTGAACTTGCAATTAAAGAAAGTCATTTTTTGATGTTACTTTAACATCTTACAATATTATTAAAGTTAAATTATCAGGAAATAAGGTTTTGTATTCCATTGTGTTAACAAAAAAGAGAAAAAATACAGAATACTAAAATATGATTATATCATTATTTTATAAAATCAGATACAATTTATGAGCTGATCAAGAAAGAATTGCTATTTACTAATTTCAGAGTAGAAAGGTCTAGTCATGGACCCCCGCACAAGTGCCCAGCACGTGATACACTGTGGCGTGTGTGAGGCTGTTAAAGTACAGATGCACTGTGACACATGTCTCGTCAACCTGTGCAAGGCCTGTGTGGGAGAACACATCTCAGATGAATCCAAGAATAGTTGAGGAATTCTACTCCCCTCTTCCCCGAATGTGCCTCCCATGGAAAAGATCGATGTGAGATGTTCTGTAGAAACTGTGACATATCCGTCTGTGGCAGTTGTCTTTCATCTGATATACATATCAGTCATAAATTATCAAAAATCGTAGAAGTTCTGGATGAAAAGAAGGATAAGATAAACAAATACAAATCTGACTTAATTGAAAATGTTAATCCAAAATACCATGAGATCAAATCTGATATACATAACAAAATAAGTGAGTTAGAAAAGGAATATGAAAACCTCCTAAAATCCACAACAAAACGGAGATGCCTTGCAAAAAGAAATCAACGAACTCGTCCATCAACTTAAAAAACCAAGTTGATGAAATGAAGAGATCCCAGTTACAAACATTACAGAAAATTCTTGATGAAATTAACAAGAAAATTATTGACATAAGGGATGGAATTATTGTATTAGATATTGCAAAAGAGTCAAATGATTTCTCAAAAGTCATCAGCTTACGATCTTCTATAGATCATCATAAAAACTTTCCAAAAATACCTATACTGTCTGCCCCAAATTTTTACACCAAAAGTTATCCAAGAGAACGAACTTTGTTCTCACTTCGGGGATATCTCATCAATTCCTCTTAAATCACCGAAGATAAGTTCCCCTCCTTTAGTTAAAGAGAGATCAGTTAAAGTATCTCCTGCTCATAAAAAGCTGCGTAATGAACCAGAAATTTTCGATAAGCGCATTTATCATTATGGCTGCCTTCGAAATGTTGCATGTTTGGGTTATGAAAAAATATGGGCCTGTGATAAAAGCTGTACCATGACCATCTACAGCATAAATCAGGCTGTAATCAAGTTAATAAGAACAAGGACAATAAACAGGAACCCAACAGACATAACAGTCACAAGAAGTGGAGAGCTAGTGTATTCAGATCAATGGGAGAGAACTATTAACATTGTGAAGAGTGAATTTAAAGAGGAAGTGATAAGACTAGAAAAATGGAAACCTCTAGGTGTCTGTAGAACCTCCTCCCGCGACTTTCTCTTTACTATCGAAAGTGATGATAAACAGTCCAAAGTTGCCCGATACTCTGATTCAACAGAGAAACAATCCATTCAGTTCGATGATAAAAAGGCACCTCTTTATTCATCGGATGGTTCTCATAAATTCATACGTGAGAACAGGAACCTTGATATCTGTGTGGCTGACTGTGAAGCTAAAGCAGTAGTGGTGGTCAATCAGGCCGGGAAACTGAGATTCAAATATTCTGGACAAGCTCCTCTTCCAAGGTATAGAGCATTCAATCCAAGAGGAATCACTAGAGATAGTCAGAGTCACATCCTCACGACTGATTATGATAATAACTGTGTGCATATAATAAGCGAGCATGGACAATTTCGTCGTTACCTAAATTTTCCATTTTATGCTCTTGGTGGGTTGTGTACAAATACAGACGACACTCTGTTTCTTGTTGCTTGGAAATATTTCTTCAGTCTGTCAAGCTCTCTTGAGAAAATCAAATACCTGCATTAACCGACATTGGTCACTTACCGGACAATTTGTTCAGAAATAGAAAATAATAAATAAAAGATAAAGGGGATATACCTGGTACTTTTTTCATTTTGTCTTGTTCGGGCGGTTTTATTTATTGCAATTGATATGACAATCATGTGGTGCTACAGGTGTAATTAAGTTTATAGCATATCAAAGATATCATAATGTATAATGTGGGCAGTAATAAAACGAATAAATCGTGAAATCATAAAGGTATCTTATGAAATTGCACCTAAACGTTTCCAAAATTAATGGAGGGGTATATAACCGGGCCTTAGGATGAGACCGTATAAACCGAAATTCCATGTCGCAGTACTAGTAGGAGTTGCCCCGAAAAAGATCCCTCATTGCTCATTGTCCGTAAGTGAAGCTCTCCACCGACAAGTGAAATACTAATTTCACTATTAAAAATACTTTGCTGCATATGTAGACAATTGATCATTGCTACAAATATATGTGTATTGTTGCCTAAGACTGTAAACCTACCCTAACAAAAATTTACTATAGTTAACTAAAGTTTACTATAGTTAACTATAGTGAAAACTTTGACACTTTGATTTACTATGAAAATTTGCTGAAGAACTTTTTTGAAGATTTAAAGCCTTAATATATCTTAAATTACATACTAATAAAGTCCTTTGTTGATAAAATATGTAAATATACAAGGAATACTTCATTTTGATTCCAGAAAAGTATTTGTAGGAAGTTTAAAAAATAATATATATATATATCTGAAATTCATAGTAAAAATAGTTTGATTTACTATAGTGAAAACTTTGATTTACTATAGTTAACTATAGTAAACTATAGTTAATTATAGTTAACTATAGTACTTTTTTGTTAGGGTAGGTAAATGGAAACCTGGAAATGCCAAATTTGTGTCAATGTTGAAGCGATGTGGTCATCCTCGAATATTTACATTTGCAAATGTTTTCCTTTATATAACAACTCTGAAAGCAAGCGTGTTCATTACTGTATAAATACAGGTACGGGATGAAGAGGTCATAGATGTGCGTATGGATAAATGTCTGACGTAATTCGTAAAGCCGTCGTGATGGGTCGACGCGCGATCAGTGGATTTCATACATGCCGTTGGGTTTGAAAAATAATGCATTTCACACAGTAAAAGTCAAAATCAGGCAAATTTATAGTATGAATCAGTCACAAATGTAAATTAAAGTAATGAAGTATCATTTTTTAGTTTTATTGGGATGTAAAACGGGTTGGCAAATCATGATCAAATCTTCCATAAAGTTCTTAATAATCCTACATCATGACACTAGATAAGTAAACATTAATGTTCATCATTGCTGATATGACGTCATAAAGTTGGTAAAATTAGTCTAAAAACGTCCCCTTTTTGATAGGGAAGTATATTTACCCGTGATATAAATTAAAAAACCGGCAGTGAATCAATCACTATATAGGTCATATAACTTCCATGTTATACAAGGTCATAAACTATATTAAGAAACATAGCAATTATCCTAAAATACCTGACAAAAAATACTTTACAGTCCTTTTATCTCTAAATTTACACAACTGTGATATAAATATTATCAAATACAGTTCAATGTTGATACATATATTGAAATTTATGTTTTAAAACATTTAGTCTATAGTACTTGATTATTTGGGTCCATTGGCCTCTTGTGATATTTTGTAGATAAATTCCAATTATAAAACAAGTACGTCATCAAGATGGTAGATAGAATTAGGTTTGTTTGTGGAGAAATAACCCAGATGCAATAATATTGCTTGTCATGAGTTGATCGTGTAGAGTAGCCTTTCTCTACCCATTCATTTTGCAGTCACAGGTCAGATACCTCTTACACCCTTTTTCCAACATATACCAAAGAATAAATATTCCTTTGAAGAATAAAAATATATGAAACTATGGTTTTATTTGATAAGATCAGGACAAAACGTTTATATGCCGTGTCATCTAATTACTTGAAACTGTTATTATGCACAAAGATCAATAACGATCAGAGTAGGCATGCTATATAACTGGAATGAAAGGGGAGAATAAGATACTCCTGACAGGAAATCTCTACCCAGAGTTATTCTGCACGCTAAGCTTGATCTAGTATAGCGACCTCTTGTGAGAGATTTTGAGTCACGTGACGCAAAAGCATCAACATTGTGTTGTATATCCGTTGGCAAGGAAAGCAGACATTTACTTAGTTCTAGTCAGGTAAGAGGTCTTGGATAATCGATTTCAAATTTATTTCAAATTGATTTTTTCATACTTTGCGCATATATTTTGAAGTAAGGACAGTTAAAAAATCGTTTTTTGTAAACGATTGAAAAAAAAAACTTTGAATTTATTTATTTGAAAATTCTTTTTATTTTATTTTTATTTTTTATTCAGTTTTTCAATCGTTAAACAAACTTTTTAAAAAAAATTATTGAAAAGTTTCATTAGACCTATGTAAATTTTGTTAAAGACTTGTAAAGTCAATATAGTGTCTTGTGTGATCAAATTTTTTTTTATTGATGCAGTTTATTGAAGTGTCTGAAAGTATATAAGCTCGCACCCCCCTTTTGAAATGTAAATCTTCTATTACCAAAATCAACCATTAGACCAATTGGATTAAATTATGGACAACTTTCACTTTTTGAATCACATAATAAAAACTATGTGAAAAGTAAACGTCAAACGTCTATAATCAATTTCAGGCTGTTTTCCTACCGGATTACTCAAGCGTTAAGTAATAACAGAATATTAACAGCATTGTTGAGGAAAAGTTATGTTGTATAGTGTTTTTTTATCTATCAAAGGCTTTTGATACAGTATGACGTAAAAGGTCTTCTAAGCATAAACACATTGGATATTTGGTGATCCTTTTGACTTACATTAAAGTTATCTGAATAATGAAATTCTGGAATTTGTATGCAGACGTATACTATTAGTTCCTGTACAAATACTTCAGGTTTTATTTTTTATATCGATTTTGATAAAGTGAATGAAAATAAGTTGTCACTATGAAGATCATTGGCGGAAGAGAATTCTACTAACGGTATTCAAAATCAAACAATTTGCAAAGTAATTGAACAACATCCATAAAAGAAATGAAATTAATTTTCAGTATTAATTAATTTTTAAGATAGTTCTCTCCTATTATATTGCCCATCAGTGACTGTTCTGCTTATGCGCAAATCACTTGATCAAGGTGATCACATGACATGTTCCGTAGCGTTCAATTCACAGAAGCTGAAAGATTTATCCGACTTTTAAATTTGAAATGAGTAATTTTTAGAACAAATTTTATTCCATGGAAGAAATTTTAGCTGTATTTTTTATACCTAAAAATATTTTTGATCCAGTTTGTCACTGAGAGTGTGACAGTGTGGAAAGAACTAACCTGCTGTTCAATCCATGCCCATTGTATATTATTTTGTATTTTATGAATAAGATACTGTTTAAACAATAAACAAATAAAATTAGAGTGTTTATTTGCTATCATATCCCTGATTAACTTTTCCCCAGATGATAGCAGTTTTCAGATTATATGATTATCACATATAAATAGTGCATATAAAAAGCTTTGTCTTTAAACACTCCAAATTCACTCCTTAAATATTCTTTCTAAAAGATATACAATTAACTTTCGTAAGGCCACATGTTGAATAGTAAGTTTGCTTCAATTTACTTTTTAGAATCGATATAAATTTACACTGTGATGTCAAATATTGGCGATTCCTCAACGTACAGCTACATGTCATACTATTTTATTAGTTTGTAGACAACTAACATGTTTCATGAAAAATAAGAGAAAAATCCCTTTCAACAAGAAGAAAATCAAATTTGATTTACAATATTCAATATATGCAACCTTGTTTTGTAGCTTGCTTAAAACATTCTATTTTGACCCTAGAAGTATTTCGCTTTTATTTATTTACTATAATAGAAAAACTAAACAATCTACCGAAAGAGACCACATCTATGCGTAATACATGAAAATTCCAGTATTCATTTTATAAAAACACATCTCCTTCTTATCGGACATGCGTTTCTCGTGTGGTAAATATATTGAAATGTATACTACACAACAAATTATAAGTCGTTTAACATATATAAGTACCAACCATGCAAGTGGTTCAATCGAATCTTTCTTTTTTGTTCTTTTTTGCATACAAAGAAAAAGAACACCTATGAAATGAGCTAGTCAAAAGTTTTCATCATCTTAACTATTTGTTTTTAATTAATACTCAATTTTTTATTTATTGGAAAATGAATCAATTCTACTGATTTAAATGAGAATTTATTTTGTAGCCTTCACAGTTTTCCTTATTTTGAGGTAGATTTCGATTCAGAATATCTGTCTTGGATTTATCAATATGGTTAAAAATTCGAAAGTCATATCGAATCTATGAATCTATCAAAATCAACCATTCCTGAGTAAGTCACCACCCTTTGGCGCCTGTATCCGAAGCTGAAATTATTACACAGTCCTGATAATTTGTGATATCTACCTTTTTGTCCCCCGCTTTCGCGAAAGCGAGGGGACATTAAATCTCATTTGTCTGTCCGTCTGTCCGTCAGTCTGTCCGTCACAAAAACTTTAACCTTGCCCATAACTTTTGATTTAGTGGAGCTATGACTCTCATATTTCACATGTGTATACCTTGTGACAAGACCTTTCTTTGGGTACCACCAAACTGAGCTTTTGACCTTTACCTTGGAGTTTGACCCACTTTTACTAAAAAATTCCAAACTTTTACTTTGGCCATAAATTTTGAATAGTCGGTACTAGGACTTTCATATTTCACATATATATTGTTTGTGGCAAGACCTTTCATTGGATAACAACAACCTTGACCTTTTGACCTTGACCTTGGAGATTTACGTAGTTATGAAAAACTTTAACATTGACTTTAACTTTTGAACGGTGGGGACTAAGGCTTTCGTACTTCATAAATATAATCCTTTTGAGAAGTCTTTTTATTGGATACCAATAACTTTTACCCTTTGACCTTGACCCTGGAGTTTTAACTACTTTTAAAAAACTTTAAGCTTGGTCACAACTTTTAAACAGTAGATACTTAAGACTTTTATATTTCACAGATGTATTTCTTGTGGCAAGACATTTAATTGGATAGCAATAACCTTGACCTTTTGACCTTGACCTTGGAGATTTACGTAGTTATGAAAAAACTTTAACCTTGACCATAACTTTTAAACGGTGAAGGCTACGGCTTTCGTACTTCACATAGACCTATCAGATACCAACAACTTTGACCCTTCGATCTTTACATTTGAGTTTTAACTACTTTTTCAAAAAAATTTAACTTTGGTCACAACTTTTGAACGGTAGAAACTAGGACTTTTACATTTCATATACATGTATATGAGTTATTTGTGGCAAGTGTTTTTATTGGATATCAACAACTTTGACCTTGACCTTAAAGATTTACTTACTTATGAAGAAACTTTAACCTTGACCATAACTTTGAACAGTAAGGGCCAAGACATTCATACTTCACATATGTAATCCTTGTGAGAAAACTTTTTATTGGATATCAACAACTTTGACCCTTTGATTTTGACCTTGGAGGTGACCTACTTTTAAAAACTTTTTTACTTTGGCCATAATTTTTTAACGGTCAGGATTAGGGTTTTCATCATACAGAAAAAAATTAACTTCATTGTTAATTTCTAAATAAATGACATATGATAGGATGTTCATATTACACACAATATGTCATAAAAAATAACATCTCACCCACAAAGACACCGAAAGCGGGGGACCACAATTCTTTGAATTTGCTTGTTAATATTTGTTTTGGAAATGCTTTTATCTAATATTATATCAGGCTAATCTATCTTGCTCCTTAAGTCGACTTTCGATCTTGAATCAGTCTGTAGTTTAAAATTTAACGAAGCAAATCGATTTCCTATAGCAACAAATTGAACGTTTCAGTTTCTTTGAAATAAGTAAATGTATTGAACAAATGATCTAAAGTTTCAATATTATCACAGAAGGAACATTATGATGAATCAATAAATTGCAATACTAAACAGTAGAACCTGTATTTTCGGTAGTTTGCCTTTATGTCAAGATTATTTTGAATATAATTAAATTTATAAATGCTACATACATGAATTCAATATTTAAAAAAAATTCTATATAAAAACTAAACAGTTTCCAAAAAAGGAACCAACAGTAAACAGGTCTCTGGCTAGTATAGAATTTAAAGATGATCAATTTTTTTCAAATAATGATATTTATCAACATAAAATAATTTTCTTGTTTTTCAATTTCATGCAGGTATGGACCCCAAGTTCCCAGGATGTAATTCGATGTGACCTGTGTGAGACTGCTATAGCACATATGTGTTGTTATACATGTCTCAATAGCCTGTGCAAGGCTTGTGTGGGAGAACACATTTCTGTTGATGAATTGAAGGATCACAGACTGCTCAAATTTGAGTCTAGAAATTCCACTCCACTCTACCCCAAATGTGCCTTCCATGATATAGAGCGATGTAAGGTTTACTGTAGGTACTGTAACATTCCTGTCTGTCACACCTGTCTGGCATCTGATCAACACCTTGGTAATAGATTATCAAAAATCTTACAAGTTCTGGGGGAAAAGAAATAAATGATAATTAAGCAGCAAAATCAATTAATTTACATTTACCCGACCTATCAACACATTGCAACTGATGTTAAAAAAAGAATAAATAAGCTAGAAAAAGAATATAAAATTATCTCTGAGGCCATCACAAAGCGTGGGCATTACTGGCACAGAAAAGTTGATAAAGTTGTAAAGAAACTTAAATCCCAAGTTGATGAAATGAAGACCTCTCAGTTAGAAACTTTGCAGAATCATTTGGTTGAAATCAACACGAAAATTATTGAAATTAAAGATGAAATTGATTCACTGGATGAATGCATTGCTGAAAAAACCAATGACATTGCAAAATTAATACGTGTAAGACCCAAGACAGATCAATATCAAAAGCTTCCACAAAAAATTGTACCCTCACTACCCCAATTTATTCCAAATACAATTCAAGACGAAACATTAAGTCATCAATTAGGAAGCATATCACCATTTTCATTTGTATCAGAAGATTATGGTTACATATTGAAACCAAGGCAAGAAATGCAAAAAGCCGGTTCCTCTCGGTTAACTAAAACGAAATCACCAGATTTTGTATTCCATCAGATTTACATTGATATTTTCCATCTTACAAATAATCCTCAAAACATTTCCTGTCTTGGTGATGATAGATTGTGGATATGTGATAATAGCAATATTATAGAACTCTACGATGTAAAGGAGCATTCACAAAACCGGTTTATCAAAACGAAGACAAGGGCCATACCAGAAGACATAGCAGTGTTAAGAAGCGGAGACTTAGTTTATACTGATGGCATGTATAAAACAGTAAACATCGTTATTAATGACGAGATACAGGAGTTGATCAGACTTCAGAACTGGAAACCTCGTAATGTCTGTAGCACTTCCTCTGGTGACATTCTGGTTACTATGGAAAGTGATGACAACAAACAAACAAAAGTTGTTCGATACACCGACTCCATAGAGAGCCAAACAATTCAATTTGATGATGAGGGAAAACCACTCTATTCCTCTGGCCTAAACATGTACATGTGTGAAAATAAGAATCTGGATATATGTGTAGCTGACTATGGTGCTAAAGCAATAGTGGTGGTCAATCGGGGCGGGAAACTGATATTCAGGTACACTGGACATACTCCTTCTCCTAGGAATGAAGCATTCTGTCCACAAGGAATCACTACAGACAGTGAGAGTCACATCCTTACAACTGATTATGGTAATCGCTGTGTCCATATCATGGACAAAGATGGACAGTTCCTTCATTATCTGACCCTTGGAAAAAATAAACCGTATGGAATCTGCACTGATACAGTTGACAATCTTTTTGTTATTTGCAAAGAGAAAAAAGTGTATGATTTGTGTTACACACATAGTTGCATTATGAAAATCAAATACATGTGGTGAAAACAAATATACTAATAATCATTGTAATGACACACTTCAATGTATAAAGAATGATTAACAGAACTTATTAATGATTTGTATACTTCAATTTTGTTTCAAAAAGGTTGCTGTATTGCAATTAGCACTGAAATATTTATGAATAGCATGTCCTTTACTATTCCTTTTTAATTTTTTTATATACAGACACGTGCCATAAGTATTCAGTCAACATGGCGGTTTGTTTACGCTTGAAAACGAAAGTGTCAAATTTCAAACATTCGCTGTATTGATTGATTGATTATATACTGTTTAACGTCCCTCTCCAGAATATTTCACTGATATGGAGACATCACCATTGCCGGTGAAGGGCTGCAAATTCAGGCCTATGCTCGGCACTTAGGGCCATTGAGCAGGGAGGGATCTTTATCGGCCACACCTTCTGTGACACGGGGCCTCGGTTTATACGGTCTCATCCGAAGGACCGCCCCATTTAGTCGCCGCCCCATTTAGTCATTTTCGCCGGCCGCCCACTTCTCGGTTTGTTTTTACACTGACCCTGTGGCAAAAAAAAACTTTCGTGCTACATCGATAACTGATGATTTTGAGATTTTAAACATATCACTGACCTTGTGACGGGAAAGACCATTCTGTATCAAATCTATAATGATATTTTTCGCCTCCATCCCAAGTTCCTGCCCTTTTCGACCCGTATTTTAAAAAATTTAATTCTGACAACTTGCGCTAACTACAGATGACAACAAATTATCATGTGTTAAGTCATGTGACTAAAAGTCTAAATTTAGGATAATTCGTCATCGATGACGTGTACATACAGAAACAGGAGACTCGAAATATTTACTTTCGTTTTCAAGCGTAAACAAGTCGCCATGTTGACCGAATACTTATGGCACGTGTCTGTAGATCAATTGTTTGAAGGCTTTCAATACAAAATACCAGAGGAATATGACAAGACAAATGATGTATTTTTATAAGTGCAAAACAGTGCAAATGATAATCGATAAAGTTCCATAAGAATAAAACTTTTTTTTCTAAATAAATGCTTATATTGGCATGAGACTGGAGTTCGATCCTTCAAAAGAAACCATATAAATTGATCATGAGGTCCTTTGAAAACGTCGGTGCTGGCACGAAAAATATCCCCATCACTGCATGCTCAAAGGATGTAAAAGCTAAGTACATATCAAAATTTCAAGCCTTTCACTGGAAAGTGCTGTCATCTCAAAATGAGTGAACACTCATGAATGGAACGTTAAACAAATAGACAAACAAATAAATTGGAATTATTTAGTCTAATAGTCTATAATGATATACTATGAAATGTTTCGATAGCTGATGATTTATGTAAATCTATTTTTGCTAAAGCCGGTGCTGGATTCTGCTACCAGACAAATGTGCGATTTGCATGACCTTTAAAAAAAAATATTGATCTTTGATTGTTTACTGTTTTGCAATATTTGGCACTAGATAAGTTATGGCATTCGATATTATAAAAAACTTGGTAAATTGTCTTTTATTTTTACTTGACCAGGTATCTTTTGCAGTTCTACTTGGATGTTAATTCTTAAATAAATGCATTTTTTATTTTTAAAGACGTTGCTTCTAACAGTTGTTTTACAATAATCACCTTTATTCAATAGCGCCTGGCTCGATAAACCGGTACTAGATTTTATGATTTTTGCCCTCTAAAGTGGTTTTTTTTTATTACATAATAGTTTCCTTTTTAACCCTGAAGG